TGGTCTTAATAGAATGGACCTTATAAAAGCAGCACTGCAGGCTACTGCTAGATCAGCAGGTCAGCGGTTCAAATCTCACCGGCTCAGGGTTGACTCAGCCTTCCATCCTTCCGAGGTGGGTAAAATGAGGACCCAGATTGTTGGGGGCAATATGCTGACTCTCTGTAAACCGCTTAGAGAGACCTGAAAGGCCTATGAAGCGGTATATAAGTCTACTGCTATTGCTATATTGCTATTGCTATGTTCAGAATAAGATGTTGAATTATAAGAGACAGTTCTAAATAGAAATATGCATCGTACAGAACTTTGCAGCAAAGTAGAATTGGATTGGACAATCTGTAGTCTTCCACATATGTTCAACTACAGTTCCCAGCCTGGTTTACCATTAGTTGTATTGGCTACAGCTGCTGGAGGCTGTAATTCAGTCACTTTTGAAGGGCCTCAATTTCTCCATCCCTTTTATGTGGGGTAAAACATTTGGAGGGCTCCTGTTCCCCAGCACTTTTCTTTGTTGTAAATAGGCACAGGTTTAATGCCCAGTTTGTTAATTAAAAACAAACCTTTGTTAGAAACCTCTGTGTGACACTCTGAAGAAATGCTACTGGTTGGAGTACAACTCAATGGGCTAAATAAATTAAATGTCTAAAGTGATATGAAACAGCTGTCTAGGAATCTTTGGACTGCTTTTCTGTAATTTTGGTATGTGTTGCATTCTCACAGGATGTTGATGCTTCATTCATACGAAAAGTAGAGCTGCAAGCAAATGCTGATAGGCTGGCAGATGAGATCAACTTCCTGAGGACCATCTTTGAGGCTGTAAGTGTTAAATGTTCTTGTCACTGGATCCAAAGGAAAGAAATGTCCTTCAGGGCCAGAAATCGCACTGTATTTTGGGAAGAAATGGAATGATCTTGCCAGGAAAGTAGGGCAACCTTGATTTATTGACAATTCTATGAACTAACATATTCTACTTCAAAGATCTCCTGGAGACTTAGATCAAAATCTTGGGGGGCTCTTTTGTGGGAGTGGGAGGCCAGTATACATGATATGCACTTGGGAGTGTCCTGATTGGATTCACACATCATGCTAAGATGTGATTTTTCTAGCCCAGATTTGTTGAATTGGCTGGAATAACATTTTGCACTAAGATGGTTGGTAGTTTCTTTTAATGCTGGCATGATGTAATGTGCGGTACTAACTGCAGTGCTGCTACATATAGTTTCTTTAGTAATTTTAAAATAGGTTTAAAGAAGTGTTCATTGACACACAACACAGAGGTATCATTGAGCTACAAAGGAGAAAGAGGAAGTCAGTCAGGTCCACTAATCAATTTTGTCTTCCTGAAACAGTAAACAAAGTTGTGCTCTGAAGTTCCTGAAACTGTAATACCAAAAGAAGTAACAGAGTCACTTGAGTAACAAAAGCACTTGAGGGTAGAACAAGAAGCAATGGATGGAAACTAATCAAGGAGAGAAGCAACTTAGAACTAAGGAGAAACTTCCTGACAGTTAGAGCAATTAATCAGTGGAACAATTTGCCTCCAGAAGTTGTGAATGCTCCAACGCTGTTTCAAAGAAGATGTTGGATATCCATTTGTCTGAAGTGGTGTAGGATTTCCTGCCTAAGCAGGAGGTTGGACTAGAAGACCTCCAAGGTCCCTTCCAACTCTATTATTCTAAATTCTAAATGAGAGTCATATAGTCAGATCAGTTAGTTTGAATGGTTTTACTTACACTCTCTTATACCCCCAGTCCTCATCCTCAGGTTAAAAATATCCCCGTTATTATGCTGACAGCCATGTTCAGAGGCCTCCACTGATAAGCACAATTCATGTGAATTGATAGAAACTTTCCTGAATGCAGCAGTCTTATCATGCTGAGCTTTGCCAAGTCCCTGGTGAGATTTCATTTGGTGAATCTTCCAAGGGAATTTAGCCCTACCACATCTAGGCTGCAAAATCCCGAATGACCAGCAGAGTGCAGCAAAAAGGCAAAAACTGTATATTGTGATTCCATCTAACTCAGGGGTGACAAACCATGGGCCGAATGCATCACATGAAGGCCACACCCACCCCAGCTCCATGAAGGCAAAAACATTGCAATACGTCACGTGACGGCAATGTGATGTGGCGAGTTTGACATCCCTGATCTAATTGGTCATGTGATTTTTATTTCATCCAAATCAGTTGGCTCTCATTAAGTGGCTTGCAGTGACCCCGGACACTGGACCATGTTCTTTAACTGGATATGGTTTTATCTTTACAGTATAGCATGTACTATGCACACATAACTCCTAGGTTGACGTTCTGTTATTCCAGATGGGATTAGACATACCTCCATCAGAGTCTCAGGCAGATGCTGAAGTCAGTGATGAAAACACTAACTAGACAGCCTACTGACAACTTCCTGCTTTGCCATAATGAAGCACAAGCTTTATTTTGAATTGGCTTCCACATAATATTTTGCTAGGTAAAGATGAACTTGAATTAGTGAATAACAATGGGGAAACATATGGATGGATGAATAACAGCATCTTGTTTTTCCACAAAGGAAATGGCTCAAATCCGAGGACAAATTAGTGACACCAATGTTGTCTTGCAAATGGACAACAACCGAGATCTGGACCTCAACAGTATCATTGCTGAAGTGAAAGCACAGTATGAAGACATTGCCAACAGGAGCCGGGTTGAGGCAGAAGCATGGTATCAAAGCAAGGTAAGACTCTGCATAACTTTTCCAGAGATGACTGTGGAGTTAAGATAAGCTTATCCTCTTAATCTGGAATCAGTGGTCTTCTTAACCAGAAGGAAAACCTGAAGTGAGAGGGCTGATAGTCAGACCATGGCTTTACACTTCCAATGAGCTTTTCTTTTTTCAGAAATCCTTTAAGTGAATTGAATCTGATGTGCAACATTTGTCTTATATCGTAAGTTCCTTTATAATGGGGTCGTAACCAGCATTACCTTTCGGATTGCTAGGAAGAACAGAAAACTCCTAGACATTATTAGTTGAGAAGCCATGGTGGATAGACCTCATGAGCTTTGCAATTTCTCATGAGAAATAATGCAACTACAAGTTCTGTACCTAGCATTTTAACCACAAAGTTATAGTGCCTACTGAGCTTTGCTGAAACACAAAACACGAACTGTGATGCCATAGTCTCAATGCATAATATATTCCTAAGAGGCAAAAATTTGGATTCCACTTTTTGTCTTGAGATCACATTTAGGTTTAGAGGTGACAAATTTGGCAAGTCTTTTATCTGCCTTTGCCAAGGAAAGGTGATACACAGAGTTTACCTCATACCCAAGGCCTCTTGTCTAATTCGTGAAGCTGGTATTGCTTCCTATCAGTCATAAGGATTCTCTTGCCTCCCAATAAGGAGGTTGTGAGTTCAATCCTAGGTAGAGGCAGATGTAGCGTCTCCTGCTTGGGCAGGGGTTTGGACTAGATGACCTTCCAACTCTGTTAATCTGTTACTTCTTTTGGTATTACAGTTTCAGGAACTTCAGAGCACAGCTGTTGGTCATGGGGATGACCTGAAAAATACCAAGAATGAGATTGCGGAACTGAATCGGGTTATCCATAGACTAAATGCAGAAATTGACAATGTGAAGAAACAGGTCAGCGGGTATTTGAATATAGCAATATCCTGTCTGCATGGGTTTATCTGTTCTCTTTTTTCACCTTTACATGTCCATCTTCTCTTAGCTTGCACATTATTTTGCAGTTCATCCATGTGTGTATGCTAGGAACATTTTCACACCAAATTTCAACAGGATTTATTTCTGAGGAAAAGTGGCCAAGCATATTTGTTCAAGTTGGATTAAATGATCCCTGCCATCATTTTCAGGAGATTATTCCCTGCCTTGACTGTTTACAACTCAAGTTTACCAGACTTACCTGCACAATGTGCAGAGACATATTCTAAGCTGCTATTTCTTCCTCTATAGTAGAACCGGAACAGAAATATTGCAAGAAGTGTTATGTGGAGGTGTTCTTTGATTCTCAGGACTATCTGTCAGTCACGCATTGCCATCTTTGACTGTGTGCCAGCTGCTGTTCTGCTTGGATAATTCACTTCATTAATCTAAATTCTAACAATCTCACATTTAAATTGTTGCATGCTTTTGAATATGAATTTGCTCCCAAAAATGCTCCTTAATACAAAACACGGCAGCTTGAATAATCTCTGAAACCCTGTGACCCTATTATGCCAATATTAGTTCCTATTTTATAGGCAAAATGCACAATTTATTCACAAAATACACAGAAATGGGTTCACTAGCTCCAGAAAGACTATGATTTGAATAAAATACTGCACAAAGTTGAATAGCAACAGGACTGGCACTTAGACTTATATATCACTTCACAGCACTCTCTAAGCAGTTTATAGAGTCAGCCTATTGCCCTCCCCCCCAACAATCTGGATCCTCATTTTACCAACCTCAGAACGATGGAAGGCTGAGTCAACCTTGAGCCTGGTGAGATTTGAACTGCTGGCAATCGGTAGAGTTAGCTTGCAATACTGCATTCTAACCACTGCACCACCATGTATTATATTATATGGCTTGCAATAATTGCTTTATTGGAATTTGGCACATCAAACCAGAGTAAACTTTTTAATTATCTAAGCACATTTTCATGTTATTAACATAAATAATTCTTGCCCTGTTAAATCTCATAGTTGGAGGTTGTCTAGGAACAGAAGGTGACACTCACTCTGAACTGGTTTGCAGAAGAATAAACTTCTTGATGGAAAGAGATATTGAAGGACAGAGAGTACAGGCAGACCTCAACTTACAACATTCATTTAGTGACCGTTCAAAGTTACAATGTTACCATCTGGTTTTTTTTGGAGACTCCGAGGTCCAAATAAAAGCCAGTGTACAATAATGTGATCCTGTTTACAATTCTCCTGTAAATACTTACCTGTCTGCTGCTATAACAGAAAAGAGAGGCAAAGTGCCAACTCTTTACCAGTGAATTCTTAAGACATCTATATTTAATACTTCACGAAGTCATGCATGTCATGACACATACGAATCATGAAATTAGAACCTAATTAATATACGAATGTACCCAGATTACCAGTCTTCAAGGAGCAATTGCTGATGCTGAACAGCGTGGGGAGATGGCCCTGAAAGATGCCCGGGTGAAATTGAGCGACCTGCAACTGGCTCTGCAAAATTCGAAGGATGAGCTGGCACGTCTCCTGCGGGATTATCAGGAGCTGATGAATGTCAAACTGGCTCTGGATATTGAGATTGCTACATACCGCACGCTGCTCGAAGGCGAAGAATGCAGGTGGGTGCCATCTTGCGATGTATCATGTCTCTGAGTGAAATGTACCTATTTGCATGTTTCTTGCATGTCGATTTTACCCAATCTTAAACATAGGAATATATGTCATCGTAGCTGTTCTGCTTTTTCTATAACTGTTTGTTTGTCTGTCATCCTTTTTTGGCCTGTAACAAAGATCGTGTCCTAGGTTTGGAGCCTGTATGGTTTTTTTTAATTGATTCTCTTTTCAGAGCTCTGCAGGCTTCCTCCACTTGTTTTCTTAGAAAATTCCCAGAATTTCCATGTGGAGATGAATAGTACATTTGATGAATACCAAATTAGGGGCGGGGGGATGCATTTAGTTCATCCATTTTAGAACACTTTCTTTCTTCAACCATACTTTCCCTGGGTCTGATCCTGTTCTGACCTAGGTTTCCCAAGTCACAGACCTTATCTGGCTTGGAGAGCTACCAGGCCGATATCTGCAAAACTTGGCAAGGAGTCTCAGAGAGTCATGAACCAATTAAGTGAACCAATTGCCTCCTGCAAACTCCACTCCCCTTTCTCTCCTCTTTTATTTCCTCTGGGAGGGGCCATTCATCATCCACCTGTGGCCTTACTCCCAAGTCAACCCCTGTTTTTTAGCTGTTCCCTTTGTCTGGCAACTCTGTGCATGTGCACACTGGGAACAGGCTCCAGCTGTTCATCTGCCTCACTGATGTCTGACTGACAACAGCTGATAACTGGCATACGGCTCTGGCTCCCTCTCTGCCTCTGACACAGAGCCCTCATCAGAGGCTTCCCCAGGACTGGCCCATGTTCCTTCCCAACCTCCTCACTGTCCGAATCTGTTGCCAACTCTGCTGGCCACTAGCAGGCCACAACAGATCCTTAGTTTATTCAGTTTTGAGCAGTTTTTTCCTCCTTCCTCTTCGTCTCTTTTTCATTTCCTTTTGCCTAGCACAATTCAGTGTATAGGATAAAGTTCCAAAGGGCTCTAAGGAGAGGACATTATATAGAGGACATTTTCCCCAAGCTCAGCAATAGCAAATATTTTCATCGGAAACAACAAGGGTCAATGAAAAGTGATATCAAATATTTTGTAGCAAAAATGATTTTTTCTTTCTGTTCCTAAATATGTTGCTTCCTTAAGCATGATGTTATATTTAGCCAGCAAATAAAAGTGATTCTCAAGCTGCACGCAAATGTTAATGTTTGTATGGCACATTTCCAACGGTGTTGAAATTTCTGAATGTTCAATGTGCATATTTAGGAAGCAGTACTTGCTGTTCAATATCATCAGCATAGTAGAAAACATTTCCACACATAATATGCATTAGCATTAGCTGGGAATGCTTCTAGCATGGGGTAGGCTTTTAAGAATGTAAATAAATAATATATGCTTATATAATTGCAAGTAAATAACTAAAACTATGTTTCCTATACAATCTGGAATTAATTGCAGTTGTTATGTCTACAATAATACTGCTTAGTCATAGTAAGAAATGGTTGCTGACTTGGAGAGAGACACATAAAATCATCCTTCACTCCTGATATTTTTAATTAGTGGTGAAAATTCAGAAGAGAAAATACTGCACAGATATAGAAGCAATCTTTCCTCAAGTATGTTTCTACAAAAAAAGTAAATATGCCTTAGGCTTGTATTCTACATAAAAGGTGTGCTGGAATTAAATCTTGTTCTCTCTGTGCAATATCTTTACATTTTAAGATTTCAGCAATTTGCAATCCAAATGTGTGTATATTTACTCCTAAAGTAGCTCCCCCTATGTTTGACAGATTTTCTTCCAAGTTAGACGCCTTGGTTCATGCCATAACTTAGTCTCCTACCATCTGATGCCCTTCAGATGGGTTGTACATATTTTAATTTCCTAAGGCTAATAGGGATTGATCTACATCAGATTGGGAAAAGCTGTCCTACACACGAGGCCAAGAGTTGTGTTGTCTTCAACCCAATGAGATTATGGTGATAGAGAATGAGATGACAACTACTCTGTTCTTCTTTAGAAGAACATCTATGGCTTTACCAATCTCTTTCCCAGCCCACTCAAATCAATGGGCTTTTATTGAAAGAGAAAGTAGAAGATAGCTAAAAATGGAGGGCACCTTCATAATTTGTGCTGCAACAAGAGTTTGCAAGATATGTCCAAAATATTGTATCTGGGTAAGGCTCAAAGCCCATCATGCTTAGGCCAAGAAAAGATCCTTTCAAAAGGATCTTTTTCTCATCCTTTCAAAAGAAAATAGCAGCTGCATTATCACAATACAAAAAAAGATGCTGAGACTCTAGAGGAGGGGTGTCAAACTTGCGGCCCGCAGGCTGGATGTGTCATGTGCTGGCCACACCCACACCTGGTTTAGCGAAGGGGGGGAAGTCATGACACATTACGTGACGACACAAGCTTGGTACCCCTGCTCTAGAAGGAGTGCAGAGAAGAGCAACAAAGATGATTGAAAAGGGTCTGGAGGCTAAAACATATGATAAATGGTTGCCTGAACTTGGTATGTCTAGTCTAATAAAGAGAAACACTGGAGTGTCATGATAGTAATCTTTCAATATATGAAAGGTTGTCACAAAGAAGAGGCAACCTATTTCCCAAAGCTCCTGAGTGCAAGACAAGAATAGAATTGATGTAAACTTATCAATAAGAAATCCAATTTAGAACTAAGGAGAACTTTCCTGATAATGAGAAAAGTTAATCTGTGGAATGGCTGGCCTTAGGGAGTTGTGGGTGCTTTAACACTGGATGTTTTAAAGAAGAGATTGGACAGCCATTTGTCTGGAATGGTTTTGGATCTCCTGCTCAATTAGAGGGGTTGGACTAGAAAACCTCCAGAAGATCCTTTCTAACATCCTGTATTCTTTCCCTGTTGGGACCATGAGGCAGGACAATGGGAAAAAGATAGAATTTAAAATCTGTAACTTCTCTGAAAGGACATTGGCTTCTATTAACCTTATGAGGAAAACCTATTTTTAAATATGAAGAGCTCCTAGTTTTTATTTTGTCCTCCACTACTTACCTATGCTTTGAAGCATGGTGTGAACTAATGGCAGAAGGACTTGCTGGGAGTCAACTGGGTGAAGTGACCTCTTGTGGTCACTTCTTTTGTTGACATGCTTTGGGAACTTAACTGATTTTGGGCCAAAATGCTCCCATCAATGTCAAGGCAGAAAGGCTGCGTTGTTCATTTTCCTCACCCCTCTGAGATATTATGGTTCTGGGAATTTCAATGGTGGGCTGGATTTTGGTACTTGGTGACAGTTGTAGCAGTACCTTGAAATTTGTAGAACAAGGAAAACCCAGGGTAAGCATTCATTCTAAGACCACTCCCAGAATTCTATCAGCTACTGAAGGGGGTGGGGGGTGGCCAGCTTTGATGCCCAAACTGCATTGTACTTTTCTATATCCTGCTAAGATATTGCTGCAGTTAGTTCTGGAAACTGTAAATCAGTGGTGGGATTCAATTTTTTTTTACTACCGGTTCTGTGGACATGGCTTTGTGGGTGTGGCTTTGTGGGTGTGGTTTTGTGGGCTTGGCAGGGGAAGGATACTGCAAAATCCCCAATCCCTCCACACCCCACTAACCTGCTTTCCAACTCCGTTCTCCTGTTCAGGGCAACCAAAGAAGATCAGCTAGGAGGCTGGGAGGTAGCATGGGCGTGGCTAGCCTATTTGCTGGTTCTCCAAACTACTCAAAATTTCCACTACCAGTTCTCCAGAACCTGTCAGAACTGGCTGAATGCCACCTCTGCCATAAATCAACTTTGGTGCCCACAAGAATGGAGATTAGAGCTCATTGTGTTCAACCCCATAGCTGTCCCTCATCACTGAAATAATGGAACATGGAGCACTTGATAGAGGAAGGAGTAAGAGTACTTTTAGATAATAAAGATAATGGTTTAGTGTTACTTACCTGCACTAATGGTCCAGGATCTAAAATTACTGAATTATAGACCGGGGGTGGGGGTGGAGGTGGGGAAAGAATTACTATGAAATGCATTCTGTCTGAAAAACACCTAATGCCTCTGGCTTATGTGTGTTGGTGCAGTTTGTTTCTGAGCCTTCCTTCAGGCCACTGTCTGATTCAGTACTTTGGAAAAACTTTATGCTATAGTAACCCTTGAACTAAATGTACTTTTTTCTTGGGGTGAAATAAATGCCAGACGTTACACCTATGTAAAAAAGTAATAATCTGTATATTTTTAGCAACATTTGTTCATGTACTTAACTCTGCTTAACGTCTGACCCTGAAGATCAGCAGATGCTGTGGTTGCCATCTAGATAAGCCTGAAGGGCAATAAGGGTCAGGATTGTTTTCCCTCACAATGTTTTTGTACAAAGCAGATGAGCACTCTGGCCTCAGGAGGGCACTCTTAAGGCAGTCCCATCAAGGCAGCTGAGAGCACAATGCTAAGTGGGTACAGAAGGCAGGTTTTGCATTCTATGAGAAGATGTGAGAAGCTGGTAGAGAGGTTGCACCATCTGTGTTGCAACAACACAGTCACCAGTTGTTACAAAATGTTCTCTTGTGGATTCCTGGTTGAGCCACAGAGTGAGCATGGACATTTTCCTCACGGCTGAAACATAAGTTATGCCAGCATGTAAGGGGCAGCCTCCTCTTCCCCCCTTCCGGGTTAAGTCTGCAGTGGACAAGAACCTATAGGAATTTGTTCTGCTCAGACTTGGAGGTCAGGACCCCCCGAGGGAGGGGTGAACCCCTGCATGCTGGCTGAGCAACCTGTTTCATGTGACACCCCCCCCCCCCAAGTTCAGGGGTGTGCTTCAGACGGTGCATAAATGTTATGCAGTTGTGCCTCTTGCACAATCCCTTTTATAAGGGGGGTGTAGATTGTTTAATCCTCACAAATTTCCCAAGGTATTTTGTTTGTTTGTTTTCATTTGTTTAATAAAATTGTGGCCTTTTCTATCAGGAAGAAAAGGCAGAGAAACTGTAAGCTTCCTTTGGCTGGCAGGGATAGGAGCCAAATATATCAAAGAGCCCCAGCCCGTCAAGGCCAATTTATTTTTCTTTTTTTCCATTCAGTCTGAAGCCAGTGAATTTTTTTTTGCAGCAGCTTCTCAGAAATAGATTCTTAAGTTAAAGGATTTATCTCTAGCTATAGAGCACCTAGTCCTGGCATTCTTTTGAACTCACTTATCTGTAGTGGCATATGCAAAATCTGTTTTATGCTTTTCATAAGAAAAGTGTAACTCTACAGCTTTGTTCACTAGTGGCACTAATCCATAACGTGATTAGTTTGCACTGGTGTGATGTGGGTTCTTCTTTTTGATAATCCAGTCAACCTTTAAATGGTTTAGTTATGTGTATAGACCCTCTCTGTTAAATAACAAAAAAATGAGAGGGGTCAATCAAATCAAATCTTTATTATGGACAAAGACCGACACACATGGAAAGGTCTGGTTGAAAAATAACTAAAAGGCTAGCAGGAGTCAGTACATGAAGAAAATATGTCAGCTGCTGGAGTCTCTAGGAGTAGCAAGTTATTTAAGACAGTTCTGGTATATAGTCCAAAAGCAGGAAATAATAAATGCAGCAGACATAGCACTTCAGTGAGCTTAACATCCACAGGAATTTCGTTATAGTTCAGGTTCCCAGTCTCACTTCCTTAATGAGGTCTGTTTCCTGGTTATATATTTGTTCTGTTTGACAAATCATGTGTTGAAAGCCATCTTTTTCAGCCTGGAGTGATGTTATTAGCCATCAAACATCAAAAATACACTCCCCCCCCCCAAAAAAAAAGGTTTCATACAATTTTGGCCACTACTGTAGACAATGCAAAGAAAGAAGTGTGTATGTATTTTCCTTCATTTTGTCACTCATCTGATGGAGAATTTAAAGTGACCGGTTGTTCCTCGTTTTCACTTGATACTTTATCCCAAGATCTTTATTTTCAAAGACAGGGCCTTAAAGGCTATGAGCTGCACATGATAAAGGCAATTGGTTTATAGTCACACTGTTTTTTCTTTCTTGTCTATAGGATGTCTGGAGAACTCACTACCCCTGTGAGCATGTGTAAGTATTTCATTTATGTTAATTAGCCATGAAGGCCCATGAGAATACACTTGTTTACACACACTGTATTGTTTAATGTTAATACTGAATAATTTAGAAATCCTAAAAAATGTTCTCTATCACTAACAAGAGGATCAAATAAGTACTATCAAATAGGTATTACACTCTGTGCGTGTGTGTGTGTAGGGGTGCTGCCTATCCTATTTTATACTATTGGTGAAAATAATAATTTAGATTAAAAGTGGGACATGAGGCTTTAAAAAAAGGTAACTAGAATAGATTATGTTGTGGTCAATTCAAGCTAGGACTAGGCATGACATCAGAGCAGTATACCAGTATTTGAAAGGTTGCCACAAAGAAGAAGGGGTCAATTTATTTTTCCAAACCACCAGAAACAATAGATGGAAACTAATCAAGGAGAGAAGCAATCTGGAATTAAGGAGAAACTTCCTAACAGGGAAGACAATTAATTAGTGGAATAGCTTGCCTCCCGAAGTTCTGGGTGCTCTCTTACTAGCGGTTTTAAAGAAGAGATTGGACAACCATTTGAGTATATGGTTTCCTGGCTGAGCAGGGGGTTGAACTGGAAGACCTCCAAATTCCCTTCCAGCTCTATTCTGATTGATTGGGCAAAGAGGCGCTGTGAAGGGAATGGTCAGATAAGAGATAGTATAGTGGCAGCTGGGTAGTGTGCGTGGCAAGACGTTCAAAAAAGACCCTCCCTAGTTTCTCCGACCGTAAAGGAGAGTGGGGCAGGGAGGGAAGATTGAACTTTCAGACTAGCAAGAAGTTTCATTTAGTCAATGAAACTTTACAATAAAGTAGAATTAGCTTGTCTGGCTATTGATTCCTATCTAGTGTACCTCGCCAGGCTGACAAAAACAGATGAAGAAACAGACACCATGTAGATTGAAAGCTACTTTTATTAGAAAGAGCTATAGTAGCAGAATCTCGCAAGTCTGAATGTGCTCCCCCTTCTCCCTCTTTTATCTTCATGTGAATTAAAGTTGGGCAGTGGGGTAGGGGGGCTGGCTGAGGTGTTTTCATAAACCACTTTCCTTGCTTGGGCTAAAACCTTGCTTATCTGATCATTGCCTTGGTAGTAGATCTTCCGTTTCTTCTCCAAGGCCATCATTTATGAGCATTACAAGAAATATCCCTTGGTTTTTAATTTTGAATGGCATCCCACACTGGATGGGAAATTTGAGCGAGCAATTTGGCAGTAATACTACTCATTTTGCCTTAAATACATGGTGGCACCTGTAACCTTAAAAAGCTGAGCAGGGTCATACCAGTGGTGAAATTCAATTGTTTTTACTACTGATTCTGTGAGCGTGGCTTGGTGGGCATGGCAGGGAAAGGATACTGCAAAATCCCCATTCCCTCCCCACTCCTGGGGGAAGGATATTACAAAATCTTCATTCCCACCCCACTCTTGGTCCAGCCAGAGATGGTATTTGCCAGTTTTACGAACTACTCAAAATTTCTGCTATTGGTTCCCCAGATCCTGTCATAACCTGCTGAATTTCACCCCTGGCTCCTACCTAGTTAGAATTTGGATGGGAGTGGATTTGATAATTCCAGGGACGAGGACTATAGTGGGGAAATCAGCATCCTGGAATATGAGAATGACTTGGATATGCCCTGGTAGTCCCCAAGACTTGAGTATGATAGTCATCTATCATGTCTTAGAACAACTAAAATGATCAAAGATCTGGAGACTACAACTTATGAAGATTAGGGTTCAGTTAGTCTAAAGAAAAGAAGAATTAGCGGTGACTTGATAGCAGTATTCCATTATTTGAGGGGCTGTCACAAAGAAGAGGGGATCAAATTATTCTACAAAACCCCAGAGGGCAGGATAAGGAGCAATGGAGGGAAGCCAATCAAAGAGAGAAGCAATCGGGAATTAAGGAGAAACTTCCTAACAGTGAGGACAACTAACCAGTGGAACAGCTTGCCTCCAGAAATCGTGGGCACACCATCACTGGATATTTTTAAGAAGTGTCCAGACAGTCACTTATCTTAAATAGTATCGCTTCTTCTGCTTGAGCGGGGGGCTGGACTAGAAGACATCCAAAGTCCCTTCCGGCTAATTCATTTCTAGGATCCATTCCTTCTTATGGGCTACAGCCAATGGTTGGAGAAAAGTCCAGTAATGCACCTATGTTTCTCTTGCAGCGGTGGTCAGCAGCTCGTCTGCCATGAGCGGAGGTGGTCGTGTGAGCAGTGGAGGATTCGGCCTGGGGATAGGTGGAGGAGGAGGAGGCAGTGGTGCTGGAGGCAGCCTGGGTCTGACAATGGGAGGGGTTGGTGCTGGTGGCTTTGGTATAAGCACTGGAGGGAGCAGCTACAGTACTGGAAGCTATGGTGGGGGAATAGGTGTTGGAGGAGGCTCTTCCAACATGAAATATGTCTCAACCACAACCTCATCGTCCAGCCGAAAAGTGGTCAGATAAAAAAAAACCACGTTGCCAATTGATTCTGAAAAAAGCTCCTAATTGCCAGCATCAGCACAAGTCCCCAAGCTAGTCATCCTTCATTTTTTTCCCCCTGAGAAGTTTAATATGAACAGACACTGTCCCTTGTCTCCTGAATGAATACATCTGAGCAGGTGTTTGCTGTTCATGAGAAATGGCTCCTGTCACCCCTTTGCCAGGCAGTTTCAGTGTTACAAGTCTCTTTCCCAACCAAGGTGACTTGTGGCTGCCGAGGCATCTCTGATTTTCCTATTGGACAGAATCGATCTTATCCTCCCCTACTCTCTTTCAGAAGGATGATGATGATGCCCTTTTGTGATAGGAATTCAGACAGATTAACAGAATTGGAAAGGACCTTGTAGGTCATCTAGTCAAACCTCCCCCCCACCCCCATGAATTGGCAAAGAAGTTTTAAATTAGAAAAGGAAATCTGGTGACGGTTGATTTTAGTCAAAAGCAAACAAAGCAAAAAGCCAAGCATAACACTTTTGAGTATTATTCCTAAAAGAAACCCCCTTCCCCACCCCAAATACTATTGCTATAGTGCAAAACTTTAGGAATAGAATCTGGCCACATAAAACAGTATTTTAACACCCTGCTGATTTTACTGGGAGATTAAGTACTTCATCCCCTCTCCCTATTTGAAATCAACAGGATGGAGAAAATGTTTACCTTTTGTTTCGGTTGTTTTTAAGAAAGAAAACATCACTGAATTTTTTCCCAGCATTGGCATTCATTTTATGGTCATAGTTTCACCTTTTCGCATTTCTGCAATTTTTTAACGCTGTCCTTTTTGTTCAGTACTTTGCACCAGCAGATGAATGCGATATAATTGTATCCTCTTAAATCTCATTAAAAGCAGGAGGAAAGTATCTGTATAGACCAGTGGTTCCCAATCTTTTTTTGGCCATGCCCCACCTAAGCATCTCTAAAATCCTGGTGCCCCACTTGTGACATATAATTCTTATTTTGCTCAAAAAGTAAACTCTACTCAAGCAGAGGAAGCCTAAAAGGCGATTAACTAGGTTTAAACAAGGTTCAAATTGCCACCATTAAAAATCAAATTGCCCCCCTGTGGGGCGTGGGCACCACGTTGGGAACCACTGGTACAGACTGGTCTGTATTATCAGGGCCTGTACTTTTCTCACTTAAGCCCTATTGCTCTGTTTGGTATATTGCTTGGTATAATTTTGATTTTCCAGAGCGTTTAAAAATGTGATAGCCTTCTGCTAAGATGGCATTTGAGAATGGAAAGGGCAATTTAATGGATGGGCTTATTAAAACAATATAGTTGGCAACAGAAAACAAAGAACACCTGTATTTTAATTCAGTTGTAATAGTAGGCAGACAAAGAACATCTGTATTTTAATTCAGTTGTAATAGTAGGCAGACCAACACCCCCAGGAATATACACAGTCAAAACAACACATTGTTTAATAGGGAATTAGAAGACAAGTGCTTAGGTCAGCCATCTTTTTAAAGGATGCCTTTTGTTGTTCTGTGCTTAGAAGCATAGCATTTGTCTTCATCAACCACAAAAAAAAAAAATGTTAGTATTCTTTTGGTTGACCCTCTCCCTAAGAAAATGATTTTTTTTACCCGTTAAAATAAATTTCCCAATTGATGAAGAACATTTTAAAAATGCATAATAGTTTGTATGGCCTATTTTGTAAGTGTCCCCAAATGCTTGTTGTAAATAAAATAGCAACTGTTTGGCTTCTTTTGCTCAGTCTGTTGTTCTCCATAACTTCATGCTTGAAATTGCAAATAAACTGCATTGTGATAACTTTTTTCTTGCTGGCCTCTCCTTTCTTTTTACCTGTGGGTGTTCATTACAGCTAAAATGTGTTTTTTCTTGAATGAAGAACTCAAACATGAAGGGCCTATAGCTGAAGAGAGAAATAGGAGACCAGGAATATTTGGTTTGCAACATTTTTTCCCCTTACAAAATGGTTTCAATTGATTGACTAATTTATGATTCACCTACTTTACTTCTGGTGTCTTTCTGATGGGCAATACTACAAGCATAAGAGAGATGTATCATTGTCAACAGGGATGAGGCACTGATTTCATGCCAGAAAGTGCTTTTTCTCAAGTGAAAGACTTGGCCTGAATAAAGCAACATCTCAACAAAATACTACTACTACTACTACTACTACTACTACTACTACTACTACTACTACTACTACTACTAC